CAGTCGTCGGCCTTCTGCAACTCACCCTCCATCTCCGCCTCGAACTGCCGCCAGATCTGCGGGGCGGGCGGAGTGCGAACTGGATTGTCCGGCGCGGCAAACGCGGTGCGAATTTTCAAGAGGCCGCGGCGGACAACCTTTGCGGGTAAGCGCGCAACCTGCAGCCGCTTGTCGGTCGCCTGCGTTGATGTCTTCATGACGCCTCGCGGGCGAAGCCATACTGCAAGGCGTCATCGCCCGGCCAACATCTCCAGCAAGTAGGACCACTGAATATGGAGGCCATCGGGCGGAGGTTCGGGGGGCGCTGGGGACTCATATGCGGCGCGCAGACGACTGGACGAAACGGCCTGTCGCCACGTTCGCTGTCCCTGGACGCTACCTTCGGCGGCTTGAGGAATCGCTCACGCGCTGGTGCCATCTTCATCTCCTGGGCCATATTGCACAGCTGTTTGGCTATCCGTCTCTGGAGATGTAGTGGGCGAAACTCGCGCGGAAGCTTCAGCAGGGGGGTGCGGAACGACGGGGACCTCGCCTTGCGTAGGTGGGGTCCAGATGACACGTCGCCATGCGCTGGCGCGCGAACGTCGCGAGGAACACGGCGACGTTGGTTGCCGCATAGTCGTGAAAGTGCCCGACGGCATGTCGAGACAGAAACCTGGACGCTGGTAGGTCCACCCACTTCGCGGCCATGAGGGCTAGAAACAAACCGACGCGCTTCATATCGAATGTGTAACGGTCCGAACTCTCCCGTCTGAAACACCTGCTCCTCCAGCTGCAGTCGGTACACCCATGCAAACGGAGCCGCCTCCGACAACGCACCTGGGTAAGACGCTAACCGGTCACGGTGAGCTCGGACGCCCATCGGCCAAAACTGCGGATCAGAATCTGGGGTCGTCGACGCCCACCCTTGCAACCCACCGCGAGGACGAAGTGAACGGAGTCAGGAGGGCGGACGTCTTCGCTGCTGGCGTCGGCTCTTGCCAACAACGCGCAGGCTTCCCCGCCCGACTCTGCGGCTCTGCTCCTCGGTATCCAGCGAATCGTCGACGTTGCAGCTGGGTTGATATCGACGGACGGCAATCCCTTCAAAGTGAAACGCGCCCCGCTCCGATTGAACCCAGAGGAACGGGACAATCATGCAAGAGCCCAAGCTACGGCGCAGTCGTCGATATCTGGGGCGGTTGCCTGGGTGCCCGCGCAGATGAAGGAGTGCCCTAACGTGTTCGGCCGAGGAGCCCAGGTGAGGCCCTGTACGGAGCACAGTTTTTCCAGTGTAGGCGCCTGAACGGCTGGACAACGTATACACCTTTGCGGGCCCCGGAAACGCCAGGGCCGTTTTTTCACCGTTTCCAAAAAAATGTCCACTGAAAATGGAAACGGCCAAAAAACGGCGACTGGAAACGGCAACAAAAAGGCTCCAGGATTGGAAATGGAACCGGAACCGGTCAAAAAACGGCGACATAACCGGTAACAAAAACGGCGTCGGAACCGGCAAAAAAACGGAAAAACGGAACCGGCAAAGAAACGGCCCTGTCGTTTCCAGGGCCCCGCTAACGTATACACCACTGCAGCCGCATCAGGAGTTCGAAGTTCCCCCAAACCTTGCAAAGCCCTCGCTATCACCAGGTGATCCCAACACGTGTGTGCCTGTCGCCGCTCGTCTGACAGTATGGGCTTCAAGACGAGGTACCCACTCTGGGGAGGTCCGACATCGCATCGCTTGACGCAGACGTGCAGCTCCAGACGCGCGTACGCTCACGCCAATACTGCTTCATAGGTGTACTGAACGCACGGGGCTCCACTCAGGCGGTGGAGTCCTGTCCACATATCTGAGCAGCGGTGCCAACACAGAAACTAGTACACTCAGGACGTGAGGATGGTCCTTATGGGCCCAAACCCATTCACGAATTGTAGAAAAATCGTCTACCTGGAGAACCCGAAACTGTTTGCGAAGTCCTGAATCCAACACTTCTGCCGCACTCTTGGCGGCGGTCGCCGGGTACTGAATGACGGGCCAGCGGTTCATGACCTGCTCCTGCTGTCCCACTAGCCAGAGTCCGTGAGGCCCGTACGGAACTGCCGCACGATTCGAGAAGCGCCCCCTACTCCAAACACGTCTATGATGAAGTTCGACACTGACCGCCTGAAGAGAAGACGAATAATAATCAGTAGGAGTAGAAGGACCACTGCTGCACACCTGATACTTGTTCGGGCCGATCGACACCTAGGTGGCGGCATCCCCGAAGGTGAAGACGCCTGAGCCTCAAAATCCCTTTGCTCCACTACAGAGCCGGCTTATCTCGAGTTGTGAGACAGCCCCTTGCACTGCGCTGCTATTGGGCCGCCGCGGCAGACCTGCACTCCGCAGTGAGCGCGGTCTGGGCGAAGTGCACGCCCATCGGCAGGCTCAAGAGGCAGACATAAGGGAACAGAAAGTGGCATAAACATAAAAACTCGGAGGTCCGCGCGGATTTCTCGGGTCGGCGCTGGACCCCCCTCCCTGGCGCGCGGAGCGCGCCAGTGGCGGCGCCGGAGGCGCCGCTGGGGGGCCCCAGCGCCGATCCGAGAAATTCGCGCGGACCTCCGAGCTCTTCTGTTTATGATGCATTTTGTTCCCCTCGGACGGCAGCAGGTGTTCTCAAACTATTCTGGGAGAGGCCCCCCGGAACACTCTGAGCAAAAGGCGGTGGAGACGGAGGGAGGCCCGGACATTCCTGCTCCCTGCTTGAGCGTCTTTTCGTGCCGGGAGAGGGGGGGAGGGAAAGTGGGAGTGGAGAGGGAGAGAGAGAGAGCGAGAAACAACAACAAAAAAAGCAAAACACAAAAAGTAAAGAGAGCGCCTCCGTTGCGACAGCGTGTCCAGGCCTGTAGGGTGCAAGCACACACTAGGCCTGCCTCGAACTGGCGGAAGGTGCCGCGTGCGAGTGGCAAGGGAGCTCATGAAAACCTCACACCCTGGCGCGGTCACACGGGAGAGAGAGAGAGAGAGAGAGACGAGAGAAAGAGAAAGAGAGATAGAGACGATTGAGAGAGAGAAAAAGAAACGAGAGAGAGAGAGAGACGACGACAGAGTAAGAGAGAGAGGGGGAGACGATTGAGAGAGAGAAAAAGAAACGAGAGAGAGAGAGACGACAGAGTAAGAGAGAGAGAGAGAAAGACGAGAGAGAGAGAGAGTGAGAGCGACGAGAGAAAGAGAGAGAGAGAGAGACGATTGAGAGAGAGAGGAAGAAACGAGAGAGAGAGAGAGAGAGAGACGACAGAGTAAGCGAGAGAGAGAGAGACGATTGAGAGAGAGAGAGAACAAAACGAGAGAGAGAGAGGGAGAAAGACGAGAGAAAGCGAGAAATAAACGAGAGAGAGAGAGAGACGACAGAGTAAGAGAGAGAGAGACGATTGAGAGAGAGAGAGAAAGAAACGAGAGAGAAAGAGAGAAAGAGACGACAGAGTAAGAGAGAGAGAGAGAGAGAGAGACGAGAGAGAGAGAGAGGGAGAAAGACGAGAGAAAGAGAGAGAGAGAGAGAGAGAGAGAGACGACGACGATCGAGAGAGAGAGAGAGAAAGAAACGAGAGAGAGAGAGAGAGAGACGACAGAGTAAGAGAGAGAGAGAGAGAGACGAGACGAGAGAGCGACGAGTGGAGACGACGTCACGGCGGGGACGACGGGGGTACTGCGACGGAGCCGGTGCCAGGGGAGGCGCGCCGAGGCCCACGGCGGCGGCGCGAGGGCCGAGGAGGGAGGACCTGCCCCTTCCCGTGCTCCTCCTGCTCCTCCTGCTCCTCTTCCTCTTCCTCCTACCTCCGCCTCTTCCTCCTCCTTCTCCTCCTCCTCCTCCTCCTCCTCCTCCTCCTCCTCCTCCTCCTCCTCCTCCTCCTCCTCCTCCTCCTCCTCCTCCCCCCCCCCCCTCCTGACCCCTCCTCCCCCTCCTCCGCCTTCTCCCCCTCCTCCTCCTCCTCCTCCTCCTCCTCCTCCTCCTCCTCCTCCTCCTCCTCCTCCTCCTCCCCCTCCTCCGCCTCCGCCTCCTCCTCCCCCTGTCGGAAGCCAGGCGAGGGCTGCTAAATCCGTGGCTGCTAAAATCGACCTGTGAGAAGTTGTCTTCGTCCTTCCGGGAAGAAGCCCGTTGACTGTTTCGCGTGCCGCGCCTCATTCCGGCAAGTTGTTTTTCCTTCCGGGAGGGCCGTTTTAGCAGCCACGGTTTTAGCAGCCCTCGCCCAGCTTTTGACCCTGGGGGCGGAGGGCGGGTGGAAGTCGGCGACATGCAAGGAGTGGCCATAATCCGCGTTTCGTAGTAAGCGTCGGGGGGGCGTCCCCCCCGCCGACAGCCCCACGACGACCCCCGTCGCGGGCGGCCACCGCGCGGCGAAGGCGCTGCGACCCCCGTCGCGGCGCGACGACCAGGCGAGGCTGACCCCCGTCGGGTGGATACCCCCCCACGCTTATCAAGAAACCCAAAGTAGGCAAGAGTGACCCCTGGTGCGCGGCGTGACAAGGGGTGCCACAGCCGAGGCGCGGAAGGCGCTGCCATCGCATCGCATTCAACTATCTGGGGATCCCAGTCTGCCCGCACCAGAGGTCACTGTGGCGAAAGGTCACTCTTTCGGGCGTTGGCAAGACTGGGTTGAGTGGGACCTGGTTTGGAGGTGCCCTTCCCAAAATGTGACCCGTGCCGCCTCGCTCGGCGGCTGAAATCCGCGATCTCCCATGGAAACGAGACCCGTCGCTAATCCACGCCCCCTTGATCCATGTTTGCGATCGCCTGACTTAGAGGAAAGAGAACTATGCACATACACCGATTCTGGCCAGGCCCATCCTGAGCCCAGGATCGGTGCATACGCCCGCTACCTTGGCCAGGAAGGTATATGCACCGATCCTGGGTCAAGGACGGGCCTTGCCAGGATCGGTGCATGTGTATAGTTCTCTTCGCCCGATGACTGGCTACACCCGACTCCTGCGCGCAGCCGAGGAAGGTCCGCCCCTTCCGTTCGGAGCCCCTGCCGGCGTCCTCGCCGTGCCTGCCCAGCTTCGGCTCCCGGTCGCCCCGGCCGTGCTGCACCTCCGAGGAGGCCCGCCCCAGATGCTGGAGACCCCTTCTCACCCCTCATGATTGTCATCCCTCTCAAGACCTTCCTCCTCCTCCTCCTCCTCCTCCTCCTCCTCCTCCTCCCTGCCTCTATCCCTCCTTCCCTCCCCCCTCCTCCTCCCACCCCGCTGATTGTACAAGTCATGTCCCTCCTCCCTCCTCCTACTGGTTCCTCCCTTATCCCGATTCCCCTGGTCCCTCCGCCTCCTTCTCCTCAAGGCTGCGATCCTGCTCCTCTTAGGGGGGGGCGTTGTATCAACCAGCCCGTCTTGGAGCACCAGCAGCCGGTCGTAGCCCGCTGCCCGAGCTTCCCGGTGAAACTCCCTGGTGTCCACCTCGGCAAGCAAGCGCAAGTCGAGCGGGAAAGGGCAAGGCCGGCCTACCTCCTCCTCCTCCTCCTCCTCCTCCTCCTCCTCCTCCTCCTCCTCCTCCTCCTCCTCCTGCACCTCCTCCTCTTCCTCGTCTCCCTTTCCACCTCCCTTCTCACTTCTAACCTCGCTTCTCCCTCTCCCTCCATGGCGGACAGCGGCTTCCTTGCGGCGGCGGCGAAGGCGGGGCAAATGCGAGGATGACGCACACGGAGGACACCTGCGTGGGCGGCGGACCCCTCCCGCTAAGAAGGGCTCCTGTGCGTGGGCTGCGGCACCGCGTGCTGGCTGCGCCCTGACGCCGGCGCCGTCGTACTGTTCACGGGCATCGTGCTTCACCAGCGGCTCCCTGCAGCCGCGGCCTGCGGCGTCCCGCTGAGCGCGGCCGACGGGGCACCACACGGCCAGGCGATCCTCGCCCTGGCCAGCGTGCGGCCTGCCTCGGCCGACCAAGGAGAGGTGCGCGCGGACGCCGTGCGCGTCGCGGCGGACGAGGGCAGCGAGGACGCCGAGCAGGCGCAGACCCGAGGGCGCAGCGCACGCCGCGGGTGCCGCGACGGCCCAGGCAGCCTTGGCCGTCGTGGCCGCCCCTGGCGGAGGCAGCCCAGGGCAGGGCGCTCGACGACAACACGGAGCCGCCATGGAGGCGCCGTCGGGGGTTGACGCGGCGGTTGGGGCGCCACCAGTGTCCGGCAGGAAGCACGCGTGAAGGAGGAAGGGGAAGGGCGCGCGCGTGCAGCAGCACGTTGGCGACGACGCGGCGATGGACAGGGCGCTCAGGACGGCGGCGGCGGAGGCTGCAGCAGTGGCTCTGCGCAGGCCAGGCCCCCCGATGGAGCCCCGCCCAGCGGCCTGCGGAGCTCGCAGCACCCCTGCCAAGGACGGAGGGCGGCAGCAGCGCGGTGAGTGGCGCCTGCAGGCTACACGTCGGTCGGAAGAAGTAGGTAGAACCATGAAGTAGGAGGGCGGATGCAGTGGGTTGGGTCCAGGTCCTCCCGGATAATAACGAAACACAGCAAACGCATGTCGATTCTTGAAGTAGGAAGGCGCTTGAAGCAGATTGGGATCTGGGGCGGCCAAGGACGCCGCCCGGAAGGAATACGATGATGCCGCGGCCGCCACGGGTGAGCTCGCGGCGAGGTTCGCTGCCGCGCGTGCGGAGCTTGAGGCGGGATCAGGATGTGATAGGCCCGCGCCATACCCTGCGCGGCAGCCCTGCGGGACGTACCTCGGGTAGGGTCCAGATGAGGCTGGGCGGCGCGATTGGTGTGATGCCCGCCCCATACGTACCCTGTATCAGGGCTGGACCTAAACGTTGTGTTTCGTTTTGGTCTCGTTTTGTTGTTCGTTTTGCTCTGCCTGTTTTCCTGCACCTCGCTGCCCAAACGAACAACTAAACGCAGCCGAAGTCCAGCCAACCGGCGTTTAGGTCCAGCCCGGCCCTGTCTGGGAACCCCGAGGCCTGGGCCCCGCGGAGCATGCCTGGGGGGGGGGCCGAGAGGGTCCAGAGAGCAGCGGCGCTGGTCAACCTCTTCGGCTACGGCGCCAGCTTCGACCTCCTCACCTGAAGTCAGGCTCGCAAGGGGCGAGCCGCCAGCTGCGGTGTCTTGGCACCGTCGTCAGGCCAGTTCTTCCACTCCACTCCACTCCACTCCACTCCACTCCACTCCACTCCACTCCACACTCCACTCCACCCCTCTTCCTGCTCTCCCTCCCCCACCCCTTCACTGCTTATCCTCCCTCCTCTCCCTCCCCTCGCCCCCTGTCCACGATTTAGTCCAGCAGATCTCCCGCCCCCTCCACGTGCTTCCTTCTTTTACACACCAGGTTTCAAAACTGCTTTTCCCATTGTTGTTATAACCCCGTTGTGTTCGGTAGGTCGAAATGTTGCTCCCGCTGCAGCGCGGGCCTCACTTTCGGATCGGTGCTTTGCTCGCGTCGTTGAGACTGGCGCTCTCGCCTCAACGCGGGCCACTTCTCTGGATCCGAGTCGTGCGCTTCATCGTAATCCCGCCCATCATTTCCCCTCTTCCGCCTTCCCCTGGTCCTCCTGTTCCTCCCACTCCTTCCACTCCAGTTCTTGCTGCTGCTATTCAGCGCGGGCCACTTTTTCGAATCCGACTCGTTCTTCATCGTTGTCGCACCCTTCATTCCCACTCCTCCGCCTTCCCCTGGTCCTCCTTTCCCTTCCGATCCTTCTGATTTCGTTCCTGCTGCTGCTGCTGCTGTTCGCCTGATCCTTTCCCTCCCGCTCATTCTCCTGCTCACTCGCCTCCTCCTCCTCCTCCTCCTCCTCCTCCTCCTCCTGTCATCCTCCTGTGCACGCAGCTCCCCGTTATCCGACCGCGCATGACACCAGGTGGTTTTCCTGAGGGTTTCTCAGGTCGGCCAGGACGCGCGTTCGCGGACAGAAAACTCAGCACCATGGGAGGGGACGGGAGAGAGGGATGAAATGTCAGATGGGGCGCGAGCGCAGCTAGCTTGCCTCCCTCCTCCCTCCCTCCTCCCTCCCTCCCTCCCTGCCTCCCTCCTCCCTCCTCCCTCCTCCCTCCTCCTCCTCCCGCCTCCCTCCTCCCTCCTCCCTCCTACCTCCTACCTCCTACCTCCTCCTCCTCCTCCTCCTCCTCCTCCTCCTCCTCCTCCCCCCTCCCCTTCCTCCTCCTCCTCCTCCTCCTCATCCTCCTCCTCCTCTTCCTCCTCATCCTTCCCTTCCTCCTCCTCTTGCTCATCCTCCTCCTCCTCCTGCTCCTGCTCCTGCTCCTGTTCCTGCTCCTGCTCCTGCTCCTGCTCCTCCTCCCCCTCCTGCAAAACCCCGAGGAGGGTTCTGCGCGGGAGCTCGGTGACAGCGATGACGATCGGTCACCTTTTTACTTCCGCACGGCGAAGCGAGTCTCGGTAGCTTCAGCCGTTAAACACTTGAGCCAAAGGTAACGGGGGCACCTTCCCTCCCCAGTCACCTGAATGCTTACATGTTAACACCCCCCCTCGGACGCTAGTCCGCATAGGCTGACGGGGAGGTGTCTACAATCACAAAAACAGGTCAAACTATGCAAAACGTCGCAGCAAATGACGTTAAGTCTCTTCATCATACTGTTGAGTTCGAAATGTCTCGCGACTGCGCTTACGAACACCAAGTTTCTCACACATGTAACCTGAGCTCGAGTAAACGCTTTTACTGTCACAAGTTCAAACGAAACATCTAAAGTTTACACAGCAGGCTAGCATTTGGATGATTTTGATTGCTTTCGCTTTCTATTCGCCGATACCTGCGGCAATAACAAGAGATGCGCATGCAAACAAACTCAGCTCAACAAGCTGCCGCCACTCGATCGTTAAGCCAAGTTAAGAGGGGAGATGAGGAAGAGCGTAAACTGCAGCATGCTGACTGCCTGCCGTCTTTCACGAACGGCGCGGGCGCCTCGCCGACGGGGCTCGTGAACCCCTCGACCTCGGTAACCCGCGGTGTCCCACGCTGGCTGCGGTGTAGGACGACACCCTGTTAAGGGCCTGCATCGGGCTGTAGTAGTCGTTGTCCATGTACGCGTTAATGCGCTCCTCGTCGTCAAGCCAGCACCCCTCATCGTAGCTCTTAATTGAGCCGTCAACGATGTTGTGGTAGGTGCCGATGGCTCTCCAGTAACTGGCGTGGGGAGCCTTTAACAGATGCCAACCGCCTGGATTGTTACGGAGGTGCTCTTCGACCGCAGCGCCGGTAAACGGGTTCACAGTCCAGGCCGGATCGGTAAGCCAGTTGGGGAAGTCGTCGCACGGTAACCAGCCAAACCAGCAAAGCTTCTCACGGTGATCGCTTTTACGCTCGGTGACATATGATCGGCCGGCCAATTATCACGGTAAAGTGCCCTCATGGATCCCTGATCGTTAAGGGCAACGTCCAAGATGGTCTGGTGCCAGTAGACTGGAGGCTTGCTGATACTGCCCTTTAACTCCTCGGTGCTCCTGACCTCGAGGTCGTCGATGAAGTAGTTACGGTAATGCACCTGGAGCCCGTTCATGTAACTGCAGTAAAGCCTGGCAAGATCGGGCGTCGCAAAGCGAATCACGGTAACTCCAGTCGAGATGTAACCGTGCGGCCCATGGGTGTCCTCCACCAGGTGCTTAACGGAGATCGCGGTGGGGTCGCCGTGGGGCAGCATTCCTGCCCACGTTAAGAGGAGACCGTTAAGCTGCTTCTCGTTCATCTCCGGCACCTTGTTGACGTACACTTGCGTGTCCGGGCAACTGTGGGGCTCAAACCACGCTGAGTGAAGCTCGTTAATGTTGAGTGGTGGCACGTAGTCATCGTCAAATAGGGACTGCACGTGCCCAACCGCGTCAACCCATTCATCATGCTTGGTCAACTCTTTGTCCGTTAACTGAGATCTCCAGCTGATCGGACCTTTCAACACGGCATAGCCGATGAAACCGTAAGCATGTTGGCCGAAGATGTCAACGAACACGTCATCGTAATCGTTAAGCTCCCGCCCTGTGTTGCCCTGAATGGACCTGCCGCCAGGGGTCGTTAACCCCGCCTTCGCCACGTGCCCGACGAAGTTACCCTCAAACCTGCGCCAGTTGTCACGTGTCTTCATCGTTAAGGCTACCACTTCCCTGGGGTCAGGTTCCGCCCGAAAGTTAACGTCGTAGTCGTCGCTCCTGTCGTTCAGCATGGGTATGCGACCGTTGACGTGGTACAGCGGGCGGTACACCGCCTTGGCGACGGTCCTGGAGTACCCCTCAAGCTGATCAGTCGTGCGGTTGACGACTTGAGGCTGCGGTGGCGGGATGTGCTGGATCGGTAACCTCTTGGGCTCTGGAAGCGGGGGCTTCATGCCGGTAACGCTGCTTGCCGCTCTGGACTCGCCGAGCCCCGGAGGGGGCGGCTTGGCCGGCCTCGCATTTACGGCGGGGGCAGGATCCTTTGGCACCTCATCACGTTGACCACCAACCGTTCGATCCTCGTCCATCTT